GCTTAAGTTTCAATTATGTTGATTATGTATACTTATTAGTATTTACTTGATAAGGACTTTTGGAGCAGAATTTGTCGAGTTTGCGGGAGCGGGGACCAAATCTTCCTAAGTCCCCTTTTCTATGCACAAAATCATGGGGACTCTAGAATTTAATATTTTTCATATGAATATAAAACATCCGCCTCTGCTACATTTACATATTGGGATATTAGAAAATATTGCTAAACATAGGTGAATAATGAGAAAAATGCAAATCCAGCCGATTCAGATGACGTTTTTTTTATAATTTACTGTATTAATAAGGATGCACCTTTTGGAGGGGATGTCAACCCATACTTCTATCTTTTTTATGTTCGATTTTTTTTTTTTTTTATAGTAATTAGATAGATATCTAATAGTAGGAATATTATATTATTATAATGGTATCCGGTTATTTATTATTTTACCAAGCATGTTAATTCTATAACACAAAATAGGTCTTGTTTATTTTCTACTGCTGATGGCTATTCTGCCATTCGGTAGAAGCGTTTGTAAAAAGTTTAGTTTTTTTTTAAATTTTATTATTATTTAATGTAATGTTTTACGATATACGAACAAAAAACCTATTATCGAACGCACGAAAATTGAGTGGTAGCCAAATTTCGCGGTTAAAAGCGGTATATCGCGACTAAAATTCGTATTGGTACCTACCTACCTGAAGCACTACGCGTAGAAATAGAAACTAATAGTTTTTTTTTCTTCCCGAACGAAGGTTAATGTACTTTTGCACGTACCTGTTGTTCCATAACAACCCGAAACCGGTAAAGTATACATACCTACCGCGATTTTTCTAAGCCTGACGATTAGTAGATATTAAACCTACCAGTGCTCGAATTAAAAAAATAGAAGAGGAGGGACTATATGAGACTTGAGAAAAAAATCCTTGTCCTTTATTGCAATTATTGAGCTCAACCTAACCTGTGGTGCGGGCTTTGCTTTTACACCCCTCGCAAATAGTTTTTAAACAAAAATTACTAATCTCAGAAAACAAATACTATAATAACTACTGCAAGCTAACTAATTTGCCTACATAATAGATATTTTTAATTTCAAATTCTATGCTGTGCCAATATAGAGTTTTTGTTATTTTTTCTGTATGTGAACAACTTTTCTACCACTTATCTTGTTTCTAGTAAAAAGGTTTGTTTATTGGTAATTTAGGCGGTTATTTTTTGATTTTCTATTTAGTGTTTTTAATTATGGGGCAATCCTAGAAAAAACTTTCAACTGTTACATTAATACTGCAGTAACGGTTTCCGTAATATTCTATTTTGTTTATTCAGTGAAAAATAATCGTAAAGGTCGGAAATTTCAATGAATTATTGTATTCCGCTTAATGAGAGCACGTTGGGACCACTTACATTTGCCCACATTAAGCGGTTGGTCAAACCGAAATTAGTTCAAAAACACAACAAATTTAACTTCGAAAAAAGTTTTTGTTTTTCACACGCGAGTCAAAAAATAAAAATAAAACACATATTAAATTAATACACATAAATAAAAATACAAAAAAATAACGAATAATATTACATATTAAATACAATTATACAATATTTAGATGCAGAAGGTGTAAAAAAAACATTGTAATGGCTCATTGTCTAAGCTATATATATATATTATACGTAGGTAGTTTATATTATATAATAGCTTTAAATATAATATTATAAACATATTATATTCCATCGTTATGATAAAATAAAAATTGATAATCATCATAAACCGAACCTGGTGTCTATATCATGCGTTTTTTTTTCACCTTGTTAATAATATATACGTAACGGTTAATGTTGTTATATTTATACTTTTTGTAAATAAAAACCGATTTTGTGCTATTAGTTTTAATACTACGGTGTATGAACTTATTATCAAACTTCGGTTTTCGTACGTTGGTTTTTTCTCGGTGTTTCGATTTTCAAGTGAGTTACAAATATGTGAAATAGATAGGTATTGCAATTTAAAAACCGTCAAATCTGGATTAAAAAATAAAATATCGAAAAAAAACCTACGTACAAACACAAACAACACGATTACCCTTACGTAAGTTGGTTAATATGCCAATACACTCTAATATTAAAACGAACAGCACAAAATACATTAATGATAATTATAACGAACGGCATTAATCGTAACATATACATTGGAATTGGGAATAGCCCATCTTGTGCATAATAGGCGGCTGCCCACATTATGCAAAATCCACTGTATCTATTTATTTAGGTTAGGTATATACAGCTCTTTTGCAGATATAATGGTACAATTTTCAAAACATTCTAGTAATTTGTAACGTCCAAAACCGATCATTTTTCCGTTATCAAAGGAAAAGCATACCTACAAACGATATGGTCGACCGGTTAATAGATTACGTCCGCGTCGACGGATATGTGATGTCATCACGAACAATAATTTCCCACCCCCCCTCCCGCAAAGGTTTACGCGATCGCGATCTTTTGCAATTCGCAATGTAATATTCCTGACTACGGGTTAACGGCCAATCAGATCACGTTTTCCCTTATCGCCAAAAACGTCGGCCCGCGACGACCTGTGCCACAAACGTCTCCGCGCTCTCTTTCTATTGTTCGTTCCTCTCCTCGTTCGTGTCTACACCTCGTCTCGAAACTTTGCTGCCATACGGTCTTTCGATATAGTTCTCTTAATAAAACACTCCCGTGTGTTGCGCGAATTCGTATACTCTGCCATCAAGAAAAGGTCGTGTACCTTGGCACGTTTCATGATGGTGCCTCAAACGAACCGATGAAGAGAGCCCCGATCTGGTCCGCTGAGCGGAAATCTTCGGGCTGGACGAATGGTAATATACATTTGATTTAATAATCGGCCGATACCGCGTTAGTTAGGTTAGTTTTTAAGTTAGTTAAGGTCCCCCGTATAAATATTTTTATCTAAAATGTTTCTTTTTTTTCTCGCGCGTTAAATTCTTCCGATATACTTACGGGGATTAACCAGTGTCTATTAGATTCGTTTGTCCGTCTCATTGTGCTAATCCCCGCGTTCCACATCCTATTTGCGATAGGCCAAACCCCCTGCATTTTGTATTTTTTTTTTTTATTTTCTATTCCTTTTAAATACTAGGTTTCGCAACCACGTGTATGAGTATCAAAAAAAAAAAAGAATATATATAGATCGATCTTCCCCAATTCGCGATCCATATTCAGACGCATCCCGCAGGTTCACCCGTTGGGCCACCAATTGATAAGTTAATAAAATAATTCTATATTTTCCCCAAAAGAAAACACGTGTTTATTTATTTAGATTCTCCATTTTTCCTTTCCTCCTCACAAAAATTCTAGGACTGCGGTCTTCGGACCTCGCTCCTAGGTTGACGACCTTGCTCCTAGGCGTGTAGTTAGCTGGGCGCTCGGGTCGGTTCTCTCAAACAAGGCCGACCGAACCGGGACGTCTCAAATTTTTTAGTTATTAACAATCATTTTAATTTTGAATGTTGTTTAGGTTTTTATTTGGTTTTATGCGATTACATTTGTCGTGTTACGTTACAATTAATGGAAAAAAAAGTTCAACAAAATGTAGTAACTGTTTTTTTTTTCATAAACGCTTAAAGTTCAAATTTTTAATGAAAAGTCATCTTTATCGGAATGTAAAATATGTACCATCCCATTGATGGTAGATGCACGGATTTTTCAAGGGAAGGGGTGGATATTATTAATAATATATATAAATATAACAATCTAATATCTAACTATCCCAAATATTATACATTTAAATCTAGACAAACTATTTTTAAACCATCACTTAGTTTTAATTGGCATAAATAGTTGAAACAATTTAAGAGGATTTAAGCCCCAAACAATATTAATTGTGTACCTATATAAATTTAATATTTTTTTACTAAACACTAAATATTTGAGGTGATCGTTAAAAATAACCGGGATAAAAATTTTTTCCAAACATAAGTATGTCCAGGTACACTCCATAGTTCCACCAATGATCACCATCTGGTGTTTTTAGAACAGTCTAGAACATTTCATCGCACCCATGAGTCCAGCCATTTTTTTCTGAATATAAATAAAGCAATTAAGTCCATTATTTTCTTATTGAATAGTATATGCCTACCTATTATAAAACTTCTGTGTTATGGTACCTATCGAATAACTCAAATAGCAACGTGTAGGTTACTTGTAGTTTTCTTAATTGAAAAAAGGGAACATTTAACGTGAAAACCGATTTCATTATTTTGATTTTTGAAGCAATTCTGTTAAAAATATTTATGAATATTAAATTTAAAAATTAATAAAATACAAAATATTTATCTTATGTATACTTATATTATAATAGGTTTTTATAAGAATTTTAAGTTCTATTTTTGAGGAAAAATTGTGCAAATAACATTTCAAAACATGTTTAGTTGACTTAAAGCAGAACCTTTTTTTTTTAACTTAGCGGTGACGTCCTTTTTTTTTACTTATAGTTATCTATACTTAGTATGACCCCCCTGCTATTCCTACACCAAATATTTATAAACATATTGCTATAGTTGTACCTTCATTTTATCTCTACATGTGGAGTCACCAGAAATTAGTCATAAACTCATAAAGTATTAGTATATATTATTGTATCCCAGTGCGGCGTAGTAGTAAACTATAATTAACCTATAATTACAACCTATAATTAATTGATTTAAAAATAAATTTCTATTTGGTTCTTTTATTTAAAAAAATAGATGTTTAAATAAATAAATAATTGTATTTTACTTAATATACAGTAACCTTTATTTAACCTTAATTTGGATATAATATTAATTAGAGTTTAGATAACAATTTATAATTGGTATGAGTTCTTAAATGTTTGGACAAATATGCTGATTTTCTAAATGATTTGTAACAAACATCACATTGGTAAAGTTTAACTTCAGTGTGAATGGATTTATGACGATGCAATGCATTCAATTCTAAAAACGATTGCTTACATATTTCAAAATTAAAAAATCATTAACCAGTATGAGTCTTCATATGTCTGCAAATAAAAATTATATGTAAATGATTCCGCACATAATTCACATTTAAAAGATTTTTGACCGGTACGAGTTCTCAAATGTTTTGTCAGATAACACTTTAATTTATACAATTTTTTACAAATATTACATTCATATTTCTTGTTTTCAGTATGAGTTAACGTATGAATCTTTAAACTAGATAATTGAGAAAATTGTTTTTGACATATTTCACAATTAAAAGGTTTCTGAACTGAATGAGTCCACATATGCGAGTCCAAGTACCATTTTCTTCCAAATGATTTCAGACATACATTGCATTGGTATCGTTTATCTCTAGAGTGAATGATTTTATGATTTTTCAAAATTACTGATTGTGAAAATGATACATTACAAATATCACACTTAAAAGATTTAAGACCTTCATGAGTTCATTTGTCTCTCCAAATACAATTTACTTCCGAATAAATTCTCACACAATATACATTTAAAAGGTTTATGACCAGTATGAGTCTTCATATGTTGTATCAAATAATACTTTACTGGAAACAATTTTTTACAGATGTTATATTTGTATTGCTTGTTTTCAGTATGATTTAACTTATGAGTGTTCAAATTAGTTAAATAAGATAAAGATTTTTGACAAATATCACAATTAAAAGGTTTTTCACCTGAATTAGGTTTCTGTGCACATGATTTATTACTTTTGTCATATTGGAAAGCTATTGCTTTTATATGTTCAATGATGTATGGTTTTTTTTTATTATAAGCTTTCTCATGGTGTGATAAAGTTTCTTGCCAAATAAATGATTTATGACACTCTGTACATTTGTATGGTTTCTCTATTATATGTTTTAACAAAGAATGAGATTTCAAGCTCGATTTTGAAATAAATGACGTACTACAATTGTTACATGTAAACCGGTAGTTTCTGAATTTTGATTTTTTAAATAAACATTATTCTACAAGATTATTATTTATAATTGTAATTTCGCTTTCATATACAAAATCATCAATTACATCATTTCCCTTTTTATTGTTATTTGTTCGGAGTTGCAAAAGTATCTGAAAAATAAATTATTTATAATTTATAAATTAACAACTCATCAACAAATTTAAATTTTAAAATCAAACAGACTTCAAAATTTAGATGGAACTACACATAAAATGTCATTATAAGTATAGGTATACCAGGTGATCCAGCGGGTACACTCATTATCTCATAATATATTAATTTTGTCTGGAATTTGTTTTCTAGAAACAACAAGGTGTAAAACCATTACCTACATTTGATTTTCAAATAGCTACCTATACAAAAAATTCCATAAATAGATAAAGGATTAGTTGAAATAAATTTAAGTGTTGTAATTTTGATTTTTGTCAATCGGTTGACAAGATATACCACTTTTAAGTATGGTTTGAAGAAGATTAGGAACAGCGTGCGGCGTGTTAATAATACCCACTACTCTCCTGCAACCCAAACTTAAAAGTGGAACATCTCGTCAACGGTTGACAGAAATCAAAATTTTCAACACTAAATTTGTTTTTAACTGATATTCTATTTATTTATGAACTATTTAATATAGAGCACCTTTTGAAAATCAAAAGTAGGTAGTAGTTTAATCAAACAAAAAGTGGATGACAAAAAATAACATAAATATAAAATTGTAGAGCTGCTTGTGTCTTAAATGTTCTAGAAAACAATTTCCAAAAAAAAATTAATATACTGAGAGAAAAAAGTTGTACACTTAAAAAAAAAAATCTGCAATAATTTTTCAACAAATACCTAAATTTCATACATTTTCTGGTTTTTTTTCCAATTGGCTGGGAAAATTGAAAAATTATCTCTCTAAAGTACTCCCTCCATCGGATGTTCTTTGAGAAAAAGTGCTATCATTGTAAATTATGTCAAGATTGCTGGCAGAAAAGTTGTCCACAGGAAAAAATAAATAAACAACTTTGTAAAAACATAAGTTTCTTCGCTCCACCCAGAATCTAAAATATTATAATATATACATGAAAAAAAAAAAATGATTGTATATGTATAGGTAGTTAGAATAAGCAATTAAATCAATGAATGACAACTAAGCCAACACTGGGCTTTCATAAATTCTCTGATTAATGATATTCCTACATTTATTAAAGAAATATCAAATAATGTTGCATGAAATTAGTAAATTTTTTTTATTATAATTATATGAATTTGTATTTTTTTTTTTTACCTACATCAGAACTTTATTTTTATGCAACTATACTGTACACATTATTTTATGCCAAAAATAATTTTCACCGTAGTATTTTGTAATTTAAACTATTAGAAACAAATTTTGATCTGTGAAAAATCATGTTCGATGGCTCTAATTATAATACAAAAATAATATATAAGTATATTTGTTTTGCAAGGAGTTAATATAAAATTAAATGCCTTGAAGTGAAAATTACTCACTCAATTTGTGAATAATTGTTTTTAATCAGTCCATTAGATGTAGTGCCATATGTTTCATCATCCATTTCTTCTTTTATTTCATTTTTTGTTTGCTCATTAAATCTAAAATAAAAATCAAAGTAATACATTGTTTAGAAAATGTTCAAATTAACTAAAACCTTTAAACATTGATAAGTTATACAGAAGTAAATAAAATAAATAAATTAAAAATCCACTTTTAAAGAATAATTTATTTTTATGTAGTTTAGAGAAAATTCTAATATGAGACCTTCCTCAGAACTGAGTCTACTATTACTATTACTCCATATTAAAATTTGTATGTACAAGATGGTATTATAGTATTATCCATTGGCTAATAAATAACTCTGTCAATATTACTTTTTTTTTTTTCAATCGGGTTTTATGTGAAGGAGATAAATATAGTGTCTATAATTAAGAATCTATTTATTGGATACGAATGATACATACAATTTTTAAAAAACAAATACAATATGGGATGACATTCAAGAAAGTTTAAAATTTGTTTTGCAAAATTATAACAAACAAATTGACCAGATTGTAGATGAAGATAATCTCTTAGATGAGTATAATCATTTATAATGTAGTCAATGATGAAATAAATGAAAATTTAAAAGAATAACAGAATATGTGTGTTCGTGATAAATAAAGATAGCATGGTAATTATTCAATTTTAGAAAGAAAAAAAAAATATATATTTAACAACAAATTTTGGCGGATTATGTAGTAATCTCTAGTAATTTCTGGGGCCATATGAGCAAATCCAATTAGTACTCTGGTAGTGCTCAAGTCCCTCCAAAATTAACTAATTAGTGACTCCTGAGGAGTTACACCCTCTATCTATTTTTATTTCATTTTCTATATGAATAACAGCTAAATCAGGTAATCTGTTTTACCCCACAAACTTGTTCAAGTTTTAATATGGCACATAAAACTACGATTACACAAAGAAGAAATTGGCGAAACTAATAAAACTTTAAACAATATGCACAATTTGGATGAATATATTCTTCAATGATTTTTATTAAATCTTCCAAGTATTTATTTTGTTTGGCTTATTTGTAAGAATTCTTAGCAACAATCATTTCGGAGAATAACACATTTTTATCAATTGAAAAGAGGGTCTGAAATTATATAAACGAGAGGTGTTCAAAAAGTTCCAAGACTCTTTGAATTGTATGCCAGCAGACCATCCAAGAGTAGTAGGATTGATATCACTAGGTTTTGTTACTTCTCCTAAGCACATCTGTTTTTGTAGATTATCTATAATCTTCTTTGCTTTGATGTCATCGATATTTATGAAAAATATTTTTTTCAATAATCAATTTTTTTTTTTTTTAGTAATAAATGCATTTACTCACTTTGAATTTTTTGAAGAACTTTGGATGTTTTGATTCATTCCATGATAAATATTTCTTAATTTTTTTTTTTTTAAATACTGTAAACATAAACAATCAAATAATAATATAGGTATTGAATTAATTACTATAAAGCTACCCCTCTAATGTACCATATAATAAAATGTCAATCGGTAACAATAATTTCAAACTTAAACTAACTAGGTAAAAAAATGTAAAAGAAAAACTGTTTTAAATAAGTATCTATTAATTATTTTCAATAAATCAATATTCATTGCAATATGATAGATGTTCGATGATATTAGGTACGTGTTTAAAAAACTTTTAAAATATTAAACAATATAATACATAGGTATAATATATAATAGGTAAATACTTAACTATTAATATTTAATCGTGATAATAAAATAAATATACATTGTTTAAATATTACGCTATTAATATAAGTACCTACCTACCAAAAAATTTGATTGTTGAAGATCTTGAATTTGAATTAAATTGTAATAGTATTTAATCCAAAATCAAGTTAAATTTTAGAAAACCAATGTTATTACAGTCATTGTAACGTTACACAAATCGCATTTACGAGGCACGAAGTTTTCAAATTTCAGAATACAATTTTTATGATAGTAATCTTATACCAAAATCTATGATTATAAACCCGCGGTTTTCAGAAGAAAAAAAACGGTTTATATCACTAATAAAATAAACGGTTCTTATCAGTACCTGCCTACTTGGAATAAACAATAGTTATCTTATCTTATAGTAGTGGTTGCCAATCGTGTTGATGTTAGGGGTCTGTGGTTGTGTAGTCTGAAGTGATATTTTTATTTTATTTAGTGGAATTATTAAACACTTAGTGGTTAGAAATTCCACGTATTTTGAGAAATCACTATTGAAACTCGATTATCGCAAAAAAGGTCGATAAATATACATATTATTCACGTGGTAGCTACACTGATTGTTTTCTTCTAATTATCCGATTAGATATACTGTGGACATGAATTATTATAAATAAACAAAATTGAAAAGTAAGTATTCATAAATAACGAGTCTCGCGTCTAATTTAAGTTGTAGCTATGGGTCCGTGGCTTAATGTTAATTGAGAACCACTGCCTTATAGAACGGACAAAGATTTTATATATTACACAGTGTAACGTAATCAAACGTACATTTTCCCCGGCAGAGCAGTTCTCTTAAATTCCACCAGATAACGGCTCTTTCGCTTTTAGTCGCGAATAGAGAAGCCGTAACGAAATACAATTGAAGCGCTAAAGGGTGATATTTAACAATGTGACCACCAATAAAACTACAAATGTTGTTATTGGTTCCATATATTATTTTGTACTTTGGTTGCACAAATTTAGTAAACTAGTACCTATATTTTCTTTTTGGATTATATGAAGAACCTATTTGTTTTGGACGTATTTTATTTCCAACTTACCGATTGACCTAGTAAAGCGATACAAATCCTGAAAACAGATTTTAATTTATGTATTAAAAATTTATATTTTTAATTGGGAAAGAATTTTACCGTCAATAAAAATGACACTGTAAATATACACCTTTGTGCCTCAATTTGTGAATATTGACGAGATACCGAACAGTCTCCTTGTATTACTCTATGTTTGGAACATAGACATATAATCATAGATAATATAAGAATTATATTATCTATGCATATAATATAATATAATATTATATTATATGTCTTATGTTTATGATTCGGAAGAACTGCCCAACGGCCTAGTCATAACGCCACGGCTATACGAAAACAAAATACGAGCACTGCCAACATTTGCCAAAGAAATTATATTATATAAAAATGACGTACAGCTAGCTTGACTTGTCCGTTAGTTGACCAAATACTATAAACGGCAATATGGCTATACGGGACTATAGGGCTATACGGGACACCGACTCACTGGCTACTGGTATAGGTACAAAAACAATTTTGTTTCGGTGTCTCCCCCCCCCTCCCGGGAGGGGGGTTGTGAATTAATATCCTATTTTACTCCTTAGTGTTAGCATAATATTATCAAATGTTATGAAGTACCCATGAACTATCATCGTTATCATATTCATATTTCATAGGCATTAATATTTTATTATTTTTCATAACAAAACTCTACAATTTGTATTATTAAGAAAAGTCGTATATGCGTAACTATAACATAATACTGATAAAAAATTATTATAGACCATGAATATATACACTGTTGTTAAGGACTGGCTACTGCTCGACCAGTGTGATTCGTTTATTGTCGCCATTTCAATTTAACATATTTTCACACATTTAAATAAAATAGGAGTAATTATTACAATTAATAGTAATTGAAATTTGGGAATAGGATAATGCAAGCATTTTAATAGTTGTTGTTATAAATCATTTTCACTTTCATAAATCATTATATTGAATATATTATTTTAGCAGTCTGATGCAGTTATTTTGTTAAGGTTAAGTATTAATGATTTATAATATTCATTACAAATTTTCATTATAGGTAGGTGTATGGGCTTCCATTGGAAAATATAGTATAACATATTGCAATTATATATATTGTTCATGCCCATACTTGTTAAAATTAAATGAAATCAAAAATTTAAACAAGTATTTTTTTAAGATTATAAATAGCAGTCTAATTTTTAGTATGTAAGAAAATATGTTGTATCTAATAATTAGTTGAATATGTATTTATTAATATCTGATAATATGCACTTGATAATATTTTTCTGATAAGTTCGACAAGTCTACTTTACTGGTTCATCTTTATTTATATATATCTTTATTTATTATTATTTTTTTAATGACGCGTTTTCCAACGCTAATTGAATGGGTCCGTGCAATATTGAGACACCTCCGCTTTTCAAAATGTTTTAAAAATATTGTGTTTACGATAAAATTAATTTCAAAATCAATTTAGATACATTAAACCATGATAAAAAAGATTACGTAGTATTTGATTTGATTTTCATAACTATTTTGAGATAAGAGCTAATTCACCAAAATCTCATTTTTTGAAAAAAAAAATGTAGTTGTCTCGTTATTGCACAGACCCCCACAATTGTGAAAATGTGAAAATCTTTGGGTATTTTTTTAGGAAACCGTTATTAAAGAATTTATAGCTATTTGTAGTTTTTACACCAAGCGATCGAATGTAGTTGGCCGAAGTCTCGTTATCGGGTAGTGAGGTTTTAGCGAGAAGTTTACATTCAGGACACTTATAACCCATTCGCAGTAATATTATGTTGAAAAATGTAGGTTTGGTAACCGATAAACCCCGCTCAATGGGGGTGACGAAGAGGACCCCGCAGCGGAATTCGAATCGCGGATGTCGGCGGGCGTATATTATAACGAGCCGCACCCGCAAATCGTAATATATCGTTTCGTGTACCTAATCGTGTATTGCATACGATTTATGGACTATGACAATTTGTTTATACTAAGTTACATAATTATCTTGTAAGATTACACATGATCCATGTTTTTGACAAGCATTAATATTATTGTTATTCTTCTTCTTCTTTTCATTTGCGTTCATCCCAACTATTTGAGATCGACCGCCCTCGTTCTGAACTTCCACTCTACTCGACCTCCCACCCCATCGTACACACCGGCTGTCATATCGTTTTCAATCGCGTCCAACCATCTCTTTTTATCGGTTATTTTTATATTATTATTATTATTATTATTATTATATACATTTAATGCCTAGTAAATCTATTATTGTCTTCTCGACCAACCTTTTATTGATCCCTTTTTTTCCTTGTTATATGATTGTTATTATAATAATAAGAACCGTCATAGGCGAAATAAAATATTATTTACATTGAACTGACATAATTGCCTCTATACAAATAAAGGCTGCCGCCAATACCGTCACTGCGTACATAGTATTTCGTTGGCCATTATCGTTATTCGTTATTTCGTAAAAGTACAACAATAAGGCGTTCCGAGTTTAAGTATACTCTAGTATTTTGTAGATTAAGTATCATTATTGCATTTAATACATAGGTAATTATCATTATTTCTATTACTAATACCACCCGAGTAATTATCATAATATTATTATATTATAGGTATACAGGTTAGGTTAGGTCAATAATTATTATCGACACGAAAGTTCCGGACTATATTATAGGTGGATAGAATGCATATCACAATAGGCAGGCACCTATATATTTATTACTATAGGTTATTACTACATGTATTTTGTTGGATAATGTTTTTTCGTCATTTGTATTTATCAAGCAGCAACGTGAGTCCGAAAACACAGGTTATACTATACAATATTATATTAACTATATAATAATATTACAACGCCCACTATAGAGCACAATTATCCGGCCAAAAACATTTCCTACTCATGGAATCCCGTTTACTGTGTCATCGACGGTAACGAACGCACGGACATTGCCGTCAAATATTCCCATTCATCCCCCGACGCCCTTAACTTACGGACACGCTTCTCCTATGGGAAAAATAATGGAGCAAAATGACTACTAAGCTCAACGAAATGAAAAGATCAATACAGTCCCTGACGTTCCTCATCAACACCCCTAGAAAATATGTGTCAATCGTCTCAGAATCGGATACATATGACTCACACACTTACATTTAATGAAGAAAGACGACCCCCCTTATTTGTGTGGTTCCCCTTACGGTTAACCATGTTATTACCGAATGTTATGTGTACAATATGGAGAGAATGAAAGTACAGATATCCAATCACCTAGTTGAAACATTAAGTTTCGAACCAACCAATATCACCAGCTCTGCCAATTTTTATCGGTGACACGTCTTATCAACCTCGTGTAATGAACATCCACAAACCTTCTAACTACAACATCTGTTTACAGCCGTTATTAACCTCTCAAGTTTATATATCTCTACTTTATATGTATTTATGTATTTATAAGTATTCATGTACTTATATATGTACCTGTTATATGTTATAAGTATATACCTGTTATATGTACCTGTAAGTACTTATCTATTAATGGTTTACAAAACTGGAAACTTATGTTATAATTTCATTTC